TGTTTTAATTTTTTAAAAAATATTTTATTTTATTTTTAAATAATCAAAATAGAGTTATGTTTATGCTTTAATGGGACGAGGACGACGCTTGTGTGCTACTCCTTTCTGTGTTGAACGTTCGCTCAACTCTTTGCTTTGTGTGACCTATCGGTGTATGGGAGGTGTCCTGGAGAATACACTCTGACGTCCGAGTCAGAATTTTTCTTTGTAGGTCTAAAGTAATTCAATGATGAAAAGTCAGTTTACCTTCACATTAAACTTCTATTTATAGAGTTTATAAGAATCTGACAAATTAATTTACCACTTAATGGTCATTAATGCAAACCTTAACCACTTATCCGTAGTTGTTGCTGCCTTGATTGCACTTTAACTCTGTTTAACTGTTGTCGGGACCAAGTGATTGTGAGACTCTTTCATGCACGTGGACCGCTCGGTCCTTTCAAGCCAATACACCACCATATTCGATCGGCCGGCTACAAGTCTATAGTAACAAGTTCTTATGACCCTTTTGACTTAAACGTCTTTAGTGAAACTAAAATTGCAAAATCTAGAAGGTAGAAAAAGGAACGGAGAGAGGCAAAGGGGAAAAAATCATTTACAAAATGGTGTATGTATAACTTCATCAAAGGGTAAGGGTGGGGAGGGAACGGTGAAGTTGAGAAAGAAATGAGTGTCACGTATCTAGGATAATTATCGTTCAACATTGTTTGTTATTTCTAAATACATAATTTCGTTTGGCTCACGATGATATAACTCATACATTAATATTGTAAAGAAATGAAATTGGTTCAAATTTTTAAAAGAAACAATTTCAATTTCTCGTTTAAATTCAAAAACTAAATACATATTTAATTCTAAAAAGATATTTATTCAATGGTAAATGAGTTTAGTAGTTGTTCAACAGTGGAGAATTCTTTCTCAACATTCTTTCCTTCTTCTTCACCATGAAACCTTGTGGTCCAATTATATCCAAATATCTTGCATTTTGAAATAATGCATCAATACTTAATTGAGGAAGATTGTAAAATATTTTATATTTATGTTGTATAAAAGAAATGTGTTGTTTTTATAAGTGCGTTTTAGCAAAGGTAGATACTGAAATATCAAATTGATTTGCCCTTTTCATTCATTCGAACCTCTATGCGCTCGTTCTATGATTGGTGAATGATTCACAGCTTTGAATGTCTCCACAGAGAGACCAGAGTCGGAGAAACAGAAAGAATTTAATGAAGAAATCCAGAGATAAAACTTCCTCATCTAATTTCACAACACTTCAATTCGTAACCAGAGATATACAAAAAAATTCGAGTTTTCATATGAGCTAAGCAAAAAGCTCGCTTATTGAAATTAGCTCACGGGCCATAAAAAAGAGCATGGAGCTAATTTCACAAATGTAAAATCTGACAAAAACCAATGTAACATGTTACAGTATTTAGTATTTACAGAAAAAAGGCTTACGCGTATTCACAGAGGGAGAAGGGGTTGGTTCCATTGAAGTTTGCAACTCGTGAATCAGAATTATGATCACCAAACGTGAAGCGATCGTTCCTGCGGAGGAGAGGAACCCTTGAGTCCAGAAGTTCTAGTCTCGTGGAAGTCCTGTATAACTTTAATCAGGAACCGCGCTTTCTTTGCGCCCTGACTACTCCCACCCGTCACAAGCGAATAAAGCGATGGCATCACCGAAGGGTCCTTCGCCAGAACAGCCACCACCTCCGCCCCAATATTCACGCAAAGCGACAACAAAATCGAAGCAGAGTGCTCTTTCCCCACGTTTGACGTCACAGATCGCAGCATTCCCGTAATTAACCCCAACGCCGAACCTTCCAATATCGCACGCGCCCCGTCAGCATTCTCAGCCAGCGCTGCAAGAACCGCCAATGCTTCAGTCACAAGCTCCTCCTTATCTGAAGAAGCCAAAATGTCAAGCAGCGCAGGAACTGCTCCAGCCGCGACCACCCTTTGGTGATTCCTAGGAAGCAAAAGCAACCCGAAAATGGCAACCACGGCGTTCTTTCTCCCGCAGGTTGTTCCTTCTTTAACTAACTCCACTAAAGCCGGAATCACCTCGGGGTTCTCACCTATTATTTTCCGGTACTCTTTCACCGAAGAGAGATAAAACATGATGGCAGCAGCTACTTGACGAATTTCGAGGCTAACTCCGTTCTTCAGCACGGAGAGAATTACGTTTAGGCCCCCACTGGTTATGATATTTTTAGGTCCATTCGGATGTTTAGAGAGCTTCAATAGAGCGGAGATTGCGTTCTCTTGAGTGGGTTTATCGTTAGACGCAGATGCTAAAAGTTCTAGTAGAGGAGGCACTGCTCCCACTTCAATCAAACAAGACCTATTGAAAATGCTGGTTCTAGCAAGCACGCGAATCTCGTAAGCGGCCTTCTGCTGCTGTTCATGCGTTCCGAACGCCAGCCTCCGCGTTAGGAACCACGCCAAGAATTGCACGGCGTGCGCCGCCGCCGGACTACCTGCGACGATGTTGCGGTTACGGTTAGATGGGCGGTTGAGTGAAATGCCGTTGTCGGAGCAGAACTGTTGGATGAGCCTCTTGAGAGTTGTGTTCGGAACCAACTCTGTGTTGGTTAGCTTCTCCCCTGTTTTGGGACACGTGGTGTTCCCAGCTTTGAGCCATTTCTGAATGGAGGCTCGGTCGTAGGTTTGACCCGTTGACACCGTCACCGGATCCGTCATCAACTCGAGGGAAATCGGGCAGCGGAAATCTTCTGGATTAACGGACGTTAATAATGTTAACGTTAACGGAGTCATCTCGGTACTGCATCTTCCTTCAGATTGATTAATGTCTTCCGTAGTTTCGAAAATGACACCTCTGCAGTAACTTAAGAACCCTACCAAGCTACTGAGCAACGGAACCTCTCGCTCGTCTCGATCGCGACACTCTAAGCTGATTTCTTCTTCTAGGAAAATAATCTCTTTATTGCAATCCATCCATGTTCTAATTTGGAGGTAGTCGATGATTCCCTGCATGGAGCTGAGGTCAGGTTCCGTTCCCCTCGCGAACAGCCGAAGAACATTGTGGAGAGTTTTGCACGCTCGCGCGTCGCTGGGGTCCACTTCGAACTTGGCTTTCCGCGCTTGCCTCGTTACTAACTCCGCCAATTCCCTGACTTCAGCGCACACGTCGAACTCTTGAAGAGGCAAAACGTCGAGGGAGGTGGCGACGGCGAGAATGAGGCAGCGGAACTGGGATGCGACGTGTTGCGATTTGGAAAGCATTAAAAGGCGCGCGCCTTGGAGTGTGCAATCTTGCATCAAGAAGTTGATTTTTTGCAAGGCGAAGTGGAGTTCTGCGAGGCAGAGGATGGTGGAGTGAGGGATTGATAAACCGCGGTCTCGAATTTCTTGAAGGAGAACTAAGAGTATACCGATTTGGCGTATCGTTTCTCGTGCGTTGCGACGTTGAGTAGGGAACAATTCGGGTTGAAAGTTGCATACGGACTGGGAGAGAGTGATTAGAGAGGCGAGAAGTGTGGGCGGAGATATGTCGCCGCAAGGGTGAACCGCCGGGAATGATAAGATGCGGCGATCCCTTGGAGTCATTGGATGGTTGGAAGGAATGAAAGAAGAGAAGAGAAGGAAGTTTGTGATATGTGGATTTGGAAATGAATGGGCACAGGTGTAGGTAGTTGGCGCAAGCAGTTATTATAAGAGGAGGAGATTGTGTTGTGCTGAATGGAGAATCTTCTGGACACGTGGTTGTATCTAACAAAGAAGGGATTGTGAGACTTGTCTGGGACTGGGAGGGAAGAACGAAGATTCGTTTTATTAATTGGAATTGGGACACGTGGAAGTGTAAGATTACTGATTTTTTTTTTTTAACTTGGAAATGTGAAGGTAAAGTAACAAATGGGTAAGTGTATTTAGATTTGGTAGTGAGTTTGAAGTGATGGGTGGTGGGTCCCACTAACCGCCCTTACCTGACCGACAGGTGGATAAACCATGCGCCGACGTGTACTCCGGAGAAATCTAAAGCTGCTGACTAGAATAATCAAAATCGTTTCTTTTGCTGACCAGTTCAATTCTTTAATTTCAAATAACTTCATTTTTATTTTACGCTGAATAATAATAGTCTTCTTTTTTTCATTTATAAAATACATATATTTTTTTTATGAAAGAGAATATCATTTTAGTTTAAATGATAATTGTTTTCTCTGTTGCAAAAACTTCAAGTTTTTAACAATTCAAACAACTTATTATCAACTAATTCGGATATTTTTTAAAATATTTGCTTAAATGCTTGTAATTTAATTTTGGCATACTACTTTTAAAGTCTATAGGTTATAATATTTTAAGAATACAATGTCGAAAAGTAACTCGTTCAAATTAAAATTTAAGAACAATAATAAAATATATTGTTCATAAGTATATTAAAATTAAATTATATGTAAAAAATTTATTTATTCTATAACATCAGATAAATTACATAATTATATTATACGCTTACCAATAATTTAATTATTTTAAATTTAAAATAATTTTCATTTGATCGTTAATTACATGAGTACATGAATTAGAGCTAATGGTAACACAAAAATATTAAAAAAAATTGAAAAATCTAAAATGTAAAAGTATTACTATATATTCTTAAGAAAGTGAAACTTTTACTAAGGAATGATATATGTTTCGTGCATTATAAAGGACTATAGGTATCAATCATAGCGCACAGACGTAGAACAAATACTTACACTTTGACATTTGAATGTTTTGACTGGGTAATATGAGAATCGTGTTAGATGAAATTGACCTTTACATATCAACATCCACCAAAGAGTAAACATGTCTCATACTGAGATCCTTTTTTTTTAGTATATACAATCTCTCAATGAGGAGATGATAAGATGAAGGAACTCTAAGGAATTTAATTTTTAACCTCATCCAAGAAGTGTTGAAAAGTGTGTTTGAAAGTTGATAAGTTCAATTCATTTGTGAAAAACCATTTTTATATTTAGTTTTTTATACTAGTTCAAATCTACTGGATATAATAAGAGGTATGGTGTCAATTTCATACTTATTTTATATATAATAGGTATAGAAAAAAACTTAGTGACAAATTTGTAATAATCAACAATAATTTTTTAAATTGAGTGGAGCTTAATAAGTATAAAAAGCTTAAAATTTTATTTTTTAAAATTGAAAATAAATATACTAAACAATCTCTATATTCTAGTGATGACTTAGATATGAGTATGATGGCTCATCCTCCTCTATCATACATGGAAGAGAGCTCGCCAAAGACCATTAGGGGAGTACACATCTAAGAAAGCAACGAACATATTTAGACGCATTGTAAGTACCTTAATGCTAACATATTATTAACATATCTTATAATCTTAATTTCAAATATCTAAATTATAAGATGAGTTGGTGGAGTAAAGTGCATACCATCATTTTGAGGACATATTGGTGATTGTCATTGATCGTCCAGAACATCTTGGACGTGTTTGTGGTGTTGAAAAATTTGTTGACATCCATTAATTCTCTGATCCTCTATCAACTCATCATCGTAAAGCCCATGTCACTTAAGAAGTCCTCATGTCTATCAGAGAATAAATGAGACAGGAGATAAGGGAGGAGATGAGTGACATTAAAGAGTATTGTGATATGTAGGAATAGTTGAAGAAGGAGTACTCGATATGTGGGCACAATTGTTAGTAGACATGCAAGCAGAGTTAGTCTCTACTTTAGGCCAACCTAGGAATCTCCTTAACAACCTTCTCCTATTTTTATAAGTACAAAGGAGAGTTGTGATGTTTCCCCTCAAGAGGCTTTTTCCACTATTGATACAAACTACAAGTTGTTATTGCTCAAGTCCCTATACCAACTTAGGAGGTTGAGACAGTGGAGCAAGTCCCTAAAAATTTTATCCTTTGTTTAATTAGATTATAAAAAACAATTGTAAAGTAGGTCTTTATCTTTAGTTGTTTTAACTATGCACTTTTTTCTTTTAATGTATACTAAATTTACTTAAGTCTTTAAATATGTATATCAGGTTAGAGCACAAGGGGGAATATCCACAAGCATTGTATTTAAAATCATATCCACAAGCATTGTTAACTCGTGAGATTTGGTAACATGTAAAATTTATAACTTACATCTATTTATCACTATAAGTTGACTCAAACTTTTCACTAATAGGTTTTTCATTAAGCGTCTCTATTAGAGCAAGAGATCCTAAAGGAAGTTTGTGAGTAATGAGCTTCGTTCCTTTTAGGTGTTTATAATTGATTAGTTAGATGATTTTATGAGGTTAGGATTGTATTATCTTTTATATATGTATTACAACAATAATTATTGAATAATAAATATATATATATCAGTGTATAATATATATATATACTTGTGTGATTAAAATATATATATATATATAATATATATATAAATATTGTTGTATGTAAACATAATAAAAGATATACAATCCTACCCTCATAAAATCATCAACTAATCTATTAGTTTGCGATTATGTTACATTAGCTTATTGTTATGGACTATATAGTATGCAAGTTTGTATGTGGTAAGGAGCAAATACAAATTTGTCATTTTTTAAAAAATCCATGATTTTCTATATTGATTCATTCACTAACAGGTATAGAAAGTGAATATTTTTAAACTGATTGGTAAAGTAGGTATAGAAAGTTGACTTTTTAAATCGGTTAAGGTCACAATATTTAAAAAGTTAGGGTCATACATATAAAATTTTGTTTTCCAAGTAAACATTTTAAATTGACTTTCCAAGCAAATGAACTTTTTAAATAGATTCTCGAACTGATTTAAAAAGGTTTAATATTTTATATATCTCTGCTTCTATACCTGTTCGAAAGCCGGTTTAAATATCATTTTTTAAGTAGTTTTAAAAAGCTTTTCTCTACTAGTGATTTACAAAATAAGTGCAACTTCATCTTATAACGTGGATTTCGGTATTAGATTAAATTATGTTTAAAGTTAATTCTTACATAGATAAGAGTGATGAGTTTGAATCATTCTAGTAGTAAGATTTGTTATTTGTTTAAACCTATTATCCCTTAATATTAAATTATCTACATTAATGTTTAATCTTAGGTTCGACATGTATATGCTTCAGCGTGATGAAAATGTATTAAAAAAATTCATATTAACTAATAATAAAATAAATTTATTAAATATAAATAAGTGTAAATTCATTTATAAATTAGTTTATAAAATTAAATATATACTAAAATTCTTATAATGAAAAATTGCTAAAGATGAAATCAAAATTTTATAAAGATCCAAATTTGTCTATCTTGTCGCCGAACATGAACATGGTGTTTCTTCAACAGTACGGCATGATGAAACATGAATTAATGCAAATGGGTCCTTATTACGTGCATAGCTTCACATATCCATATATGATTGTCCATGTCAAATCCTCTGTTTTCCCACACATTATTTCTGGTCACACATTCATGCAGTGCTTCTTCAATCGCTAATCCAATTACGATATGTGGAAAAAACGATCCAGGCGCACGTGGACAATCACGCTATGCCTAACCACAACGCGTTATTACAATATTAAACGAAAAATAATAATAAAAAGATCCAAGTACAGTATGAGAAAGAAAAAGTGTTAGCATCGCAAAATCTGAATTAAATAAAGAGAGAAAGTTAAAAAGTCATCGTGGAGAAAATGACAAACGCTTTCAACTAAAATTAATAAAATTTAATTTTCTTTTTCTCTATTCATCTTCTGAAAACCAAATAAAAACATTGTGATTCGGTATGATTTGAAAGGTAATAACTAAATGTGATGGAGGTTGCTAGACAAAATGGAAATTGGGCAACGTATGTAGTTTATTTGTAAATCCATGTTTGTCCTTTCAAAGCATTTGTTGTAGCGGTCCACTGGGAGAGCTGTCATGCTATTGCATTCATGCTTGGAAATTGGAAAATCACTTAGGATTTTTTTTTTTAGGAAATCACTAAGCACTGTGTCGCTTTCATATATTAGGCATAATCTACGCGTTAATAATAATTATAATAACACGTAACTGCAGCCTTGGATTCTTGAGTTGCCACGACGACACGAAATTGGATAATAATTTAGAAGAAACAACTACTACCATTTCACACTTAGACACTTAGCCAAACTTTTAAATTAATGTATGAACTGATCACGATTGTTAGAGTTCAGGTACTATGTGGGTGCCTAATGTTTAAAAAAAAATAAATCAAAATTAGAGCGCATTAACAACTTACGTAAAATTTTAAAACAAAAACACTATCTTGTTTGTTTTAGGATTGTCTCATGGCCATTTTGATTTAATTCCCCTTCGTTGTCTCTCACCTAACACCATCTAATAGTTCAGGTCATGTATTTTCTTTTTCTTTTTGGTGTGTTACATCAGAACGGATAGACCCATTTAACAACTTTAATTGGTACGATAAGAGACTGAAAATGATGAATAATAAAATGAAGTTCTAATTTTTTTAAAAAACTTAATATGAAATTATCATAATATTATTAAAATGAATTTAAATACTAACAATGTAATTTTTTGTGAAATCTTGGTATGAATTACTCACGCACTCCAATTAGTGTATTAGTTATCCTTAAAAAGAATTAAATATATTAAAAGTTTAAGTATGATCTAAGTTCAATATTATATTAAAAATGATAAAATTGTATATCATTAATTGTCTTAAAATATTGAGTTAAAAATATATTATTTTTTATATAAATTAAGTTTAAGTCTTATTAGTATTATATA